CACAACTCTCTCGCCGCTGCGGCCCGAGTTCAAATCAGGGTTGCATCAGGAAGGGCATCCGGCGTAAAACTTGTCAAATGTCAACATGCAAGTTGTCAGTGTGACAAATTGCTGTGGCGACCCCTAAACGGGAAAAGCTGAAAGTGACTTTCTATTTTGACTGTACACTGCCTTTGCCTCTCCTGAGGCTGCTCTACCACTGTTTGAAGGGGCAGTGGCACAGTCTCAGTTGCCTTTTTCATTTGCATGTGGTCGCTACGTAATTCCTTACACAACTGCAGAAGAAAGTCACGCCTAGCAAGTTTGGCTTTTGTGCAGCGGCGGTAAATAATGCATACATTGACGCCAGCCAGGTCCAACATGTTATAGACGATGACGACTGGCCATCTGTGGGTGGTGGCTCTTGTGGAGTATTGTCTGATCATTTTATCCAGGACATGCACTCCCACCTTGGTCTTGTTATAATAGTGTACTGTGTCTGGCTGTCACTTTCCACGTCCACCGTCTGGTGCATTGTGCTGAGGATGCACACATTTTTGTTCACCTTGCCCTGGTATATTGTAAGTATTGTCTTGTCACTCTTCATCACTTTGATGTCACGCAGTGGTGCTTTCTGATGCACAGAAGATGGGAATGAACACCTGTTTTTGTTCACAGTGCCTACCAGGCTGGTGTTCCTTACAAGGGGGAGTGATGTAAAAAAGTTGTCTGTAGTGACATTTCTCCCCTCGCCTAGGTAAGGCTGCATCAGGTTCATCACTACACTATACTCACTTTGTATCTTGGTTGCCTAGCAATGCCTATTGTTAATTTTGGAAAGTATGTGTGTGTTTTGAGCTGTGTGGCTGACTGGATATATCATTTATATGGCTATACAAGTGCAGTCTATTTACCAGTTTTGCATTATGAGTAATGGAATTCAAAATGACCTCTTGGTGGTTCTAGTGTTAAACGTGAAATCACTGGAACTACAAACAAGTTTCATATGGAAGGAACCTTCTACACACCACTTCCTCTGCAAATTTCCATTTATTGACACAATAGTCAAGCTTTTTATACAACTGGAAAATGTCTTGTTGTAGCTGTACTGTTACCCAGAGTTCCCTTACCATTGCCTTCCAGGGTGTGGTGGATAATCTGTGCCCTGTGATAGTCTATAGTCTGTGCTCATTTGGAAGCTTTTGCATATGAGCAAACAAATATTTAAAATTGTTCAGCATGAAATGAAAACCATCATAATGAAAAAAGCCAGAATAGGTTTGGTGTTCCCCCTCCACCTACAGCACTTTGTGCTGCCTTGTTGCAAGAAATGTTTCTTTATAAATAGCATTTAATATAAATAAATGCATTTTTAATGTATGTTTCCCTCCCTTGGCTGCTGCTCTTGACAGTTAACTGTAGTTCGAGAACATTAAATAAATGGTAGTACATTTAATACAAAACTCACACTTCGTAGCTTGACTTCTCGTAATGCTTTAGAAATATATTTTTACATATTTACACTTTTCATTATACAGCTGTACATTTCACAGTTATAAATGATATGGGACCAGTCATATCTTCTGCCCACATCAGGGGTGGGGAATCCCGGTCTTCAAGTGCCACTGCCCTGCTTATTTTCCAACTGTCCATGCCCTCACTGATTACCAAGATTAGGTGTGTTCAGTTAATCAGAAGCTGGAAGATACCATCTTATATGAAGGAAGGCTGAGTGAGGAAAGACAAAGTGAATTTTTCAGCTTCTGATTGACTGAACACACTTGATCCAGGTAATCAGCAGTGGGTAGGGCATGGATAGTTGAAAAACAAGCAAGACAGCGGCCCTTAAAGAACTGGCCCACATTACTCTTCAGTTTCCACGTCAGAAAATGTCAACAGTTACCAGTGCACATGACTCGGGACACTGTAATGACCTGTTTGCAGGTGTGAGCCGCTGCCATTGAGGTTTGGATTAAAGCAATTTTAACATACATTCTTGGTCAATTACTTTGTCTTTAGTAAGTTCTGTACGTGGTACATTTAGAGGCCTTCTGTGAAAGCTGTGCCACTTGAAAAACAGCTGTACCTGTTGAAGCGACAGTTGTAGTAAGAGTACATGTGGATGCACCTGTGTTGTAGACTTGACTCACACTGTGCACTGCACAGCTTTTGATGACAACACAATATTTGTGAATTGTCTGTGTGTAAGGAAATTCACTCCTACTTACATTTTACAATTTACATTGGAAAACTGTTCCTCCCTCCAAAGCTGCACAGTGTTTAGCGCTGTTGCCTCATAGCAATAATATTACAAGTTCGATCCCGGGCCCACCCGGGCCTTTCCATGCAGAGTTCTTTGGGGCGACTGTAGTTCAATGGGTAGAGCAGTCATCTCCCAGCAGGGGGGTCGGAGGTTTGAATCTCGATGCCTGCAGTCCACTTTATCAAAGTGTCCTTGGGCAACACACTGAACCCCCAAGTTGTCCCCGATGGTTAGAGCCATCAGTGTGAGTAGGCGCCGCAGATGGCTGCCTTGGTTCTGTACCGGAAACAAATTCCTTGTGTGTAACATACTTGGCCAAATAAAGGTGATTATACTTATCCATCAGCTGACATATTATAATTTCAGCAGGGCAGTTCTCTTGGGGTAGACCGCCCTCTTGCCCCTCATTGGCATATGATACCTCATCTCTTTCCAAAATCTGGAGGAAGGGGAGAGAGATGGCGACAGCTGTGCACTCTCTCCACCTTTCTCCTCATCTTCTCTTCTCATACATGTCCTCCACTTTTGCCTCTTCCTCAGGTTCTTCCACCAGCACACGGCACCCTGTTTTTTCCTCAGATGACGTACAGACTCTGGGAAGAGAGCCAGCTGAGCTTGGGTGATCTCTTCCAACTCAACCAGAACCACCTGTAAAGCAGCACTCAAATTAGAACCAGGATGCCATTTTGAGCATTTTGTGACCATAAACCATTTATATTAGTGAATGTATAACATTATTTGGGGACACAAAATTTGTGTATTCACTAATCTCAAATTTGTTATGCCCTTTCTAATTAGCAAAGAGGAGTATTTTTGTTTTTGACATGTGTCAGATTGGTCTTGGTGTAGGTAGATACCCAGTGTTAAAGGACTGGGGCCACAACACTTGATCGGGGCTCCCCTGTTTTGTATTTGTATATCTGGAAGATACGGGCTAACATTAGCATGTACAGTATTTTATTGCATTCATGTTAGTCTGATGAAGCTGTGTCCTTCTCTTATAGCTGTGTGTTTAGTCTTTATCAAACTCAAACGACTCAGTTTTTTTAGCTGCTAGGTTTTCCATTTCCAGTGAGATGAAACCATGCTTTAAATGGGCTATAAAACAGTGTTATTCTCTGTGTTCATCACTGAGAGCTATTCAGCCTATGATTAATGTTAGGCAATAGGTAAATTTCATTAAACCATTGAGAGTATTTGCACCTGCACAACAGCTCTGCTTCTAGAAATGTATTTTATTGTAGTAGTAGTAGTAGTAGTTTGTACCTTGAGCGATCCCTCCAGCAGTGCTCTGTGCATTGCTGCCACACATTCCAACTGCTGCCTTGTGTCTGGATAGATTTCATCACTACCATCAAAACTCTTGGTGTTAGTACTGTCACCAGTCTTGTTTTCACTGTTATTGCTGTTATCAGTGCTCTTAGAAATGTTGTTGTTATTGCTACTAGTGCTGCTTGTGTGTCTTTTGCTGGTGAACGTGGAGGCTGTATAGAGCAGAAGGAGGCGGTGACTGGCTTGTATGTTTTCTTCCACTGAGTCCACCATGGCTTTAGGGAAGACACACAGTGTAGTTTAGAAAAACAAGTGCCCCAACATAGCTACACATAAAGGGTATATTAGTGTGCTTAGTCCAATACTGTGTAATTATAATACTGTAGGAGACCCACCCTGTCCGGGCAAGCAGTCACGGCCTGGTATGAAGAGTCTGTAGCCACAGGCATTTTCCAACACTTGAGGCAGTATGTGAAGGGCAAATGTCTCCACTTCCTTGCTGAATCCGACGGCACATTCCTGCGGATATGCCACATAGGCATCATACAGCTTCCCATTCAAATCTGACAAAGGTAAAAAACAAAACAAAACAAAAAAAACAAGCTCATAAGTGGTGTGAAACTATGTCTCAAATCATTCTATTAATTCAAATCAAATCAAATTTTGTTTGTATAGCGCCAAATCACAACAACGTCATCTCAGGACACTTTACAGACCTTACTATTATCACTATTATTAGAGAGGGAAAACCCAACAAATCTCGCTTCAGCAAGCACTTGGTGACAGTGGGGAGGAAAAACTCCCTTTAACGGAAGAAACCTCCTACAGACCCCAGCTCTTGGTGGGCGGCCTTCTGCCTCGGCCGGTTTGGGTGAGTGGATAGAGGAGAGACAAAAGAAGAAAAGCAACAGGTCTGAAGTCACTTAAGAGAAGTCTAAATGAAGTATAAATGCCTTGCTGAATCAGAAGAGTTTTGAATCTGTATTATTTGTTGCCTCAAAGTAGTGAGTTTTCAGGGATCCCTATTAATGTGAACATTCTGGACCAACACATGGGCAATATCACTTGGATCCAGATCAGACTTTGGTGTGTGGTAGATCTTGTGTGGATGATATTGTGCAATTTCTGTCCAAGCATTGTAGGCATCATGTATAGAAGCAAAAATATTGAAACTGGCCCTATCTTACAGTACTGTATTGAAGAATCATTTAAAAAAATTTCCTACACATGGATGATGATAGGGATTGTTCCATGACCCCTACCCTACCTCTCCAAAAAATTGACACAAAATCCATTCATAGCAATTTGAGTTATGTTGTGAAGAAACAAACCAACAAACGCTGGTAAAAACATTGCCTCTGCCTTTGGCAGGGGTAAATATCACATTTCTTAGGATTTCAAGTGTAAGATAGTTGAGCTTTGATAATAAAAATGCACTACCATCTACAAAGCTGTCTTCATTCTACACTCAAAAAAGATGCTGATTATTCCTCACTGCTATGGACTGTCAGTACAAGCCCCCAAACGCAAATGGAAACACCAGGATGGGGCGCCACAAATGTGCAACACCTGCAGTGGAATATTACCTTTGTTTGTATAACAGACTGGAAACACTCTTCTAAACCACAGCACAATGTCAACCTTAAAAGGGTAGTAGATGATGACAGTGATGATGAAGAGAACCATCACACCACTAAGCACGGCTCCAATGGGAAGTATGATGTTTGGATCTGTAGGGATGGACATAGCAGACATGTCTCCACCATGAGTGTGTTAAGAGAACCAGACATGTTTTGTAATGAAGTCTTGATCAAAGTAATTGTCAAAAACATTATTTAGAAGCTGTTGTGTTGTTGTTGTTGTTGTTGTTGTTTTTGCTTTGGTGCCTGTCTTTAGTTCAGCCTTTTGACTCATGAATGGCATGATAGTAATGTATTGCGGCTCTTTAAGTCATTTTAAGTTTTCTTATAACTAAGGGCTCCAGTTGTGATACTATTTAAGATGAAGTAAACTAGCATAAGAGGACGGGCTTAGTAAATGTGTTTGATACATGCAGCAGGCTTGAGGCCTAATTCCTGGTATTCCTTGTGTGTAACATACTTGGCCAATAAAGGTGATTATCCTTATCCTTAGCATGAGCAAGCTATCATGAGGGCATAGTAGAAGTTTGACTGGTTTGTTGGAATGAATATTAACACAGGGTGCTTTGTGATTCAATATAAAAGGAAACAGAAGTCTGGCTAGTTGTTTGGTGAATTATTTTAAATGTTTGGTGGCTAGAACAGCAGTTGGAATGTCTGCTAGTGCTAGTAACTATTCAGTAACAGTTAGCCTGAGTAGATGAAGAGTGTGTGGGTGCAGGCAAAGAGGGGGGTGGTTTTGTTATGGGCCCAATGCAATGAAACACCAGTTAGTGAGAGGGTGCCCACCTGATGACCCTGTAGACTTGCCTTCACTCCTACACCCACACAGAACTTATGTTGGTGATAAAACAGCTGCAGACACACTGAAATTGTTAATAGTCTTTTGTTAGACAATCTTGGTAAAACAGTGTCAGTGGTTGGACACCTGAGTGGACCGGTTCTCAGAGGTGACTGCCGTTACAAGCCACTTGGGCAAGCCATTGCTCAACTTGAGCAAATACAATGCAGATGCTGCGTATCAAGCCACATAGGGATGCTTTGTGTCTGGATTTGTCTGCAAGGAGACTATGGAGCTGACTAACTGATTGACAACAATTTTGACAACCCTATAATAATTTGTTAAGCAAAAGTGACAAAAGCTCATTGGTTCCATCTTCTGACTGGTTTTATTAATCATCTGTGAGAGTAAACTAAGTACTGAGGGGTTTTGCTGGATAAAACAAAGAATGTACAAGTCTCAGTTTGGACTCTGAACAAGATCTTCCAAATTACTGTAGACTGGTAGCCCAAAGTAATACAAATTATGTTTAAAAGAAGGTTTTGTTTGGGAGGCTTATACTGTGTTTTTACCTGGTGGTAGCAGAGTAAAATATCCCTCAGGATTGCCTCGGGAACTGTGGGCCCGACAAGTGTAGTTGATATGGAAATCCTCCTTCCTCAGTTCAGAAAACATTAGCAGGCGCTCCAACCACGCACCTTTGCTATGGGCATCCTGGATCCAAAAACTGATAAGAACAGAAACATTTTTAATACAACAAAATGTGACTGTACTGGGCTTGGTTATAGTAGGAGCCTAAACACAAGTACACATATTTGTTACTCGTTCTTCCCCAAAAGCAACAGATTTAAAAAAGTTGGATAGATGAGGTGAGGGTGCTGACTGTTGATTTGATATGTAGACCCGATCAGAGGGATTGGTACTGATAATGAAATGGTCTTTGGCCATCCACATGATGTCTACCATGGGCTTCCCAATACCCGGCACAAACACCAGGCACCGCTTGGTGAAATTGGACCCTAAACAAACACAAACAGTAACAAACATTAAACTAAACTAAACTAAACAAAGCTGTTTTTCTTTTTCTGTAAACCTAAATGTAAACTTTTTAAATATTTGTATTCTAGAAAATTCATCTTAAATAAAACACCCATGAGTCTGTTTAGTTCAGTAGTTTGTAATTGAAATACAGTGAGGCAGGATTCTACACGTCTGTGAACTTATCACAGCTACAATCATGAGTGAGGAGACTGTATATTTTTTTAACAATGCAGATGTTCTGAACAAACTGAGTCAGTTTCAACAACAAATATTTAAAGTGAAAAACATCATATTTCTCAGATTATGTTCCAAACAGGGACTTACCTATATGTGCCTTGATTATTTCATTGGCTGGTTCATGCACTTGTGGAACCAAAGAGTACTCCTCTAAAAAAGACAGATGGCATGACATAACTAACAAATGTTGATGTTGTCTAATGATGGAAATATGCTGCATAAGGAATAATATCAAAGTTTTACTAGCTCTATGTCCCTCCTCCCATTGTGTCCTACCAGTTCATTTTCATCTCCTGTCAGCCTGCTGTGGCCTTCACTGTGACTTCTGTGCTGCTCCACTTACTAGTGTAGTGTTGTTGATTTTGAAAAGTCAAGTGTGTTCCACTGTGGGACTCACTGTAGTGTTGACAAACAACCTAAAGTTCCTCTCAGGCACACCCTAGCACATATTTCCATTCTAACCTGTGACCCATGCGTCGATGGTCTCAGACACAGATCCTGCGACGCCACCGAGGGTGAACTTCAGAGTGCAGGTGTAGGAACCATTGTTTTGAGCGTCCACCATTTTTATCAGCAGTTTGGTCATATCCATGTACTTATACCTGCCTTCATGGCCATTCTCTATGGGGTCACAGCCCTGAATGTAGGAAAGAAAACAAAAGTCAGGCTTTTTATGACGGTATGTTAAAAAAAAAGCCTTTATGGCAACTACAGGGTTAAAATAATAGCCTGCCGAGCAGAGCTGGGGTGTCTGGTGCCAAATAGAAGCTTCTAATAAAAGGAGAACTATGAGTGGTAATGGATAATATCACTGGGAATTTTATTAAGGTACAGTAACATGAATCTGTCTTAGATGCATTTCTCTTACTAAAGAATAAGGTTTTTTAATTTGCACCAATGTTGGGTCTTGTACCTACTGGATATAGTGAAGCTTTTGCTTAATTCAAGACCCTTTACAGTGTCTTCTTTAATTTAGTGTGTGGTGCTGTATACATATTGGCAAAGCTGACATTCTCCCCTAATTGTTAAGCCTGAGAAAAACTACTCAACAAGACTTTGCCATAACTCACTCTGTACCACATGAGCAGGGCAGTAATGTTGTAGCTGGCCAGTTTGTTGATGTAGTCCTTCAGAGGGCATTGCAGGATGTCACTGACTCCACTGGTAAGTGTTTGACCAGCTTTCTTGGGCCTTCCACACTCACCAGTTAGTGGCAGATCCACTACCAGCTTGGTAGCCTGCCTGTAGCACTGAGAAGAAGTTCTGTAGAAATATTAAGTAGAAAATTAGCACAGATTCTTTCTTCATCTTCAAGCAGTGAGCAGGGAATCAGCAGCATGGTTTTGCTTGTTAGGGTCTGCCTCCATTTTTACTTATTAGTTTAGTTTACTGAGTTGGCAACAGGTCATGATAATGAATTAGAAGATCGCCCTCTGCTGGACCATGAGGCAAACTACTTCAAAGTGTCTGTTAGAGCCTTAGTATGTACTTTTTTTTATTATTCAGAGAGTTTTTTTCACATTTGAAAGAAGTCTTTCAAATAAGTGTTTTAAAAATAATTTTTGCGAATTATATATTATTATTCTTTTAAATAATTTTAATATTTCTTGACTCTAGAGAGAAAAATGCAGAAGAATTCAAGTGCACTTGTACTTACTTGTACTTGTGTAAATGGCAATAAATATCTGTCTATAAAACATGATAGCTCTAGTGGACAGTGTAGATAGACACACAAGTACATCAGCATAAAATTTCTTTTTATTCTTTCAATGTTTATTGATATTTCTGTTTGTGCTGCTGCAACCATACCTCAGTATGCTCACATACTCCCCGTCGTCGTCCAGCATTACATTAAGAAACCACAGAGTCTCCCCGTTTATCAGGATTCGACTGCTCTGGTTGCTCATTTCTTGTCCCGTCTTTGAGACATACCAGGTGATGCTGTATGGGACACTTGTGAAGTTAAAGACGTCTGGAGAAACCAGGGTGCTATTCAGCATAGCCATGTCCCCAGGAACAGAGAAGACCCTCTCAAACTGGAGCCTGTAGTCAGTACAGTTCTCTGCAACACACATCAGGGGAGACTAAATTTTTTACTCAATCATTCAGCACTGATAGAGCGCTGGTCACTGTCAAATTTAGGATATTTCCAGTAAGAATAATTGTTTAGCAATCAAAGCAATTTTATTTATACAGCAGAAAACTCAGAGATTGAAGCGTTTCATTTATGCCTGTTTATATTTGTTCTTATAAATATTTTTACTTAAAAAATTATTAGTAAGAAATTTGAGTTAGAATACTGTAAATCTGTCTGCATCAGTCACAGTCTTGTTGTTCTTCTCTGGCATGTGAGTTAGAACTGTTGTTTTCCATGCTCTGCTATGTCGCTATGTACTGCCAGCTGAAGCTGAAATTACTGGTCAGTTTTGCTTCGTTCTCGTCATACGCATACAGCAGAGGTTTTCAACCAGTGGTCAGTGGCCTCCTGGTGGTCTGCAAACACATTGCAGGTGGTCTGTGACCACACATTAAATGATGTAGTTTCACTGGAGGAATCAGTTTTTTAAATTTTATTTTTTAAACACATTTAAATTTATTGATTTTGTGTGTGTGTGTGTATGTGTGTGTGTGTGAGAGAGAATAATCTAATTCAGGCAAATAAATGAAATTTAGAAAAGTCAAGGTGACTTTCAGGATTAAAATGATGATCATCAGGCCTGTCTACCCCACAGCAGGGGTCTTCAGGTTACTTCTTAGTCAGAATAATCCCTGGGTTACAATTAGGTGACAACCCCTCACCTATAGGATGCATTGATAATTGCATTGCTACATCATCATATATATATATATATATATACACACACA